GGCCCAGAGAATAGGCCCTAACAGCCCATGCTGGGTGGCTGGAGCCCGTCACTGCAACAAGATGGGGTACATGTGAGCATGCTGCCATCTAGTGAGCAGCCCCAGTGACTACAGCAGCCTGCCGTCTACCCAAAGCTGATGGAGTGACTCTGGCTCAAGTGGGAGGGGCTGGGGATCCCCCTCCCATGTTCAAACCCCTCTGTCTCCTGCTGATGCAGCCACAGGCATGGGCAGCAGGTGAACCCCCCTTCAGGGAGGCTAGCCCACAGCCCCGCCCCTTCTGCTTGAGGCCCCACCCCAGCCCTGAGCCCCCCCTCCCCCCTGGCTGGAGGATCCCGAGCCGCCCCAGCCCCTGGCTGCCAGCTGGAGCAGAGCCCCCTGCAGCTTCCAGGAGAGGGGGAGCGAAGGCGGGGCATGGGCGGGGCCATGGCCTGGGTTACGGGAGGCTTAGCATCTCCTGGTCTTCGACTGTCACTCCACTCCCTGTTTTTTCATTAGTTGTCCCTAGGATTTAGTTGGTTCCTGGGTCCAGTGGTCCCTCCCGCTAGGCTGGGGGAGGGGCCTTCAGAAGTAGGCGGGCAAGCCCGCCCACCTCCCAGTTAACCAATATCTCCTGGTCTTCGATACCATGGCCACTGTCCATGGGATCTAGTCTAGTGGTTTGCAGAGCGTCTCTCGTCTCGTCCTAGCCCTGGGTCTCCGAGCGACCAGGTGAACACAGAACCCCGGCAGGCAGGAGGTAGGGCCGGGATGGGGAAGTGCTGACAGCCCCGTCCCCAGTGTTCCCCGCCCGGCCAGAAGCGGGTCTGCTGCACCTACCGATCCACTCCACAGTGGGCGGGGGGCTCCCGGTGGCAATGCAGTGGAACTCAGCCGGCTGGCCTGGCTGGACCGTCAGCTGTGCTGGCTCGATGGTGGCCGTGGGCAGGACGGCGGTGGCAGCTGCGGCAAGATGGATGGCGGGTTAATTACTTTGTACTGGCAGGAAACCTCCAGAGCCCTGTGGCAGGGGCTGCAGGGGGCTCCAGTCTCCTAGACCTGCTGCCTACTCAGGGCGCTTCAGGACTGTATGGGCCCCAGGCCTGGCCTACCTGTGGCCTCCCAGCTCCCATCTACAGTAACACCGGCCCCAGAAAACAGAGCAGAGGCCATGTCCCGACCGGGCAGCCCCTGTTCTGCCCTGGAACACAGTGTATGGTCCATAATGGACCACAGCCAAGTGGGCAGTTTAGAGCAGGCCCTAGGTTGCTCTAACCAGCACCCAGGGCCAGGACTGAGAATTAGGGACCCAGAACTGACTCCCTGAGAGTCTCCCTCAAGTGCTGAGTACAGCTGAGAGCCTGGGTCTTGGCACCTGCAATGACTCGGCTGGGATCCCCCAGTTTGTGACCAAATTGCTGCCCCTGGGGCCAGCGTGGGGAGCAGCTTGTGGGATGTTAAGGAAACAATCCTGAAGCCCCCCATGCAGGCAAAGGACAAGGCAGGAGGGGTCTCTCCCTGGAGCCCAATGCAGGTGGGCCCAGGACAGCGAACCCTGACTGGTGTATCACTCCCCTGCGCCGTGCAGTGCTGTGCCACGGGCCAGTTTTCAGAGAGACGAGGGGCCAGGAAGCCTGACATCAGGCAGGTTCCAGAGCCCCAAACACTCAACCCGCTCCGACTCCTGCCCCTGCTGGCATTTGTGCCATCTCCAGCCCAGCGCCACTCACAGGAGAAGAGGCCACTCAGGGACCTGCCCACTGTGACACACAGAAGCCCAGTCCACATCACTGACCTCTGTTGTCTAACCCCGCCTCCAGCCCTGAGTACTGAGGACAGAGGAACTGGGCTGCCCCAGGTGTGGTATCCTCAGGGCCGGATTAACCTTTTGTGGGCCCTGGCCCCACGCTCCACCCCGAGACCCCACCCCCTGCTCTGACCCAAGGTCCCCACTCAGCCTCTTCCCCTGGAGGCCCCACCCGCCACTCGCACAGGGGGGATGGGGCGGAGAGGCACAAAGAGCAGCAACGCCACCCTGCCATGCTGCGGGGGAGAGCGAGCGAGTGGGAACCCACGGCACAGCGCTGGGCGTGCAGCATCAGGCCAACTTACAGGGTCTGTGGCCTTCCATGACTTCGATGGGTCCATAAAACATCTGAGTCTTAGGAGGGGCTGCAAACAAATCACAGTTTTCAGTTTCAACCCACGTGAAAACTGAGTACTGCCTGTGCCCCTCCATGCGGGGACCTGCCGGAGCACGGCAGCACCCAGCGCTGGGCCTGTTCTCAGCTCACAAAACGCTGCAGGGCAGCCGGAGGGCACCAGCCAGCAAGTCAAGTTTCTGTGCCCAGGGAGGAGCCCTGGGACAGCTGACAGAAGAGGCTGCTCTGTGCCGGGTGGGGGCAGCTGGACCCTGAGTCCATGTGCCGCTGAGAGAGAAGCCGGAGGACTCGATACCAGCATGCCAACCACGTGGCCACAAGAAAGGAAAACGGCCCAGCACCATTTCCCCTTTCTTGGAAAGCAAAGAGCGATGTCGCTGTGTCCGTGAGGGCAGTGGGAACACGGTCACTTCCTCCCGAGAGTCCGCAGAAGGAAAGCTCCAGAGACAGCAAGAAAGAGAAGTGTAAAAAAAAAATTCATTCCATCCCTGCCCCCAACACACTCTACGAAACAGGCTGCTTCTTCTTCCGCAGGGCCCTGGATGGAGAAAAACTGAGGCAGTGTTTCTCTACCCCTACCCTTGCCATGCCCGAGCACCTCCCAAATGTGGATGAATTTAGCTCCTCTGGGATGTAAGGAAGGATCATTTTCCTGATTTTCCCAAAAAGGGAAACTGAGGCACAAAGCTTCCATGACTTGCACAGGGTCACACGCACCCTGTGGCAGAGTCAGGAAAAGAATGCAGATCTGCTGAATCCCAGCCAGGTGCCCTAGCTACAAACCATCTTTCCTTGCAGTTCAGCCCTCCTGCAGTGATACTAAAGGGGCAGGGTCCGAAATCAGATTGAACACATAGACAAGCCCACGCTTCCGACCCTGTGTTGCTTGGCCCAGACAGCACACGGTAGGAATTTTACACCTAGCTTCTCTTGCCCCGTATTTCTCTTATCTTGACAAAGAAACTGGCTTTTTCGATTTCCGGTTCCCATGCAGCAGCGGCAAAGAGTCAGTGCTTAAACCCAAACCGGAGCAGCTTCCCTTCGACCCCCCCCCCCAGCACTGTTTGATTAGGGTTCCACTTTGCTTTCCCAGCACCCTAAGCTGGCTCTAATCCCTGACACTGCTCCCATCAGATTCTGCGGGGGCGGCAGTTCCTGCTGAATGGCACCGCTCCGAATTAATCCACTAGCACGAGAGTTTGAGGAGGAAATCGGAGGAAGGGGCATTAGCCTAAGTCAGGTGCAACTTTTCAATGGTCATGTCCCCCCATGGAGATCTCCCCTCCGCCCAGAAGGAAGCCGCCTTTGTAAAGGCCAATGGCGGGCACCCGGCCGGTGGGGAACGTCCCCATTAAAAACCCACCCAGCGAGGGCAGCGCCAGCACATCCTGCCGACCATGGAACCAGAGGAGGACGGAAAGGGGACTGACCATGGGCACCGCTCATGCCAGGGAAAGTGCCCTGGGGGTGGGCGCCACAGAGCAACGTGAGCACCCCCAGGGCAGAGTGGGGAGCCTGGCTAGCGGAAGGTCACATCGGGGGGCACTGTCCTGGGCAGAGGGTGGCCTCAGGATTGCAGGGGTGGCTCCTGGGAACTGGTGAGCACTGGGCGCCAGCAGCCAGGCTCTCCCTAACTGCCTCCCTCTGACTAACCCAGGCCAGGCTCTCCCCGAGGGCGCAATGGGGTGTGCAGGGGGAGCTCAGGGCTGCCCGCACCTTGCACGTGCAGTGTGGCCGTGCCCTCAGCCATGTCCAGCATGTTGGAGCCGGTGCAGACATAGATGCCGGCGTCCTCGGGCTGCACGTTGCGGATGGTGAGGATGCCGTTGAAGTCCATGGCGCGGCGTGGCAGCTTGCCGTGGTTCTGGCGTGTCCAGACCAGTGTGTAGGCCGGAGACTGCGGGAGCAGAGGGGACACGGCTGTGAGGAGGGCGTGAGCCCACCCTCCCCCGCCCTAGGGAGCCGGCTCTAGGTGGGCTCCTCGGGGGGGCAACGTGGGGTCGATCCCCACCTAGCCAATAAACCTGCTCCCCTCCCTACACCCCCGCCAGGGCTAGGACCACTGCAGGGGATGGCAGGAGTGGCACCCAGATACCACGGTGATGGGCACGTCACTGAAGACAGGCAGAGGCAGGGAAGGCTGCGTCCCCTGGGCTGCGCTCGGCAGCATCAGGAGGGTGGCTCCCTGCCTGGCTGCTCAGGGACTATCAGACCCCAGGCCCAGGTTAGCAAGTCACTCTGCTCCCTCCTGGGACGGAGCAGCTGGGAGGCCCCAATGGGAGGGGCAAAGCACAGGGCGAGCAGGTGTCAGCTCCTCCCGCCGTGGGGAACCCGGGCTCTGTCCTGCTGGCACCACCTGGGAATCGCGCCCTGGTCAGACTCTAAGCTGGGGTGAACGGGCCTTGTTTCCCTGACTTCCCTGGGCGTGTGGGCTCCAGTGGATGTGCCATACCAGCTGCCCGTTATCCCAAATGTGGGCACAGCGCTTTGGCTGTGTTACCACCCGGCAGCTGTCAGCCGTCTGCGCTGCCCTCAGAGCCCGCGTCTGCGCCGTGCCCGCCCTCGGCTTCACCCCACGTTAAACAATGACAAGCGCCATGCGGATCAAGCAGTCACAGGACCGCCAGCCGCTCGCTCGGCTCCCATCGACTTTCCAGCACAAGCTTTCTGGGGCACAGGCTCTTTGCTAGATGTGCAGCGCCTGGCACAACCGGCCCGACCCCTGGCCAGGGCCTCGCGGCGCCACTCCAGGCGGCGCTCAGGTTCCTTGCCTGGGCCTGTGCCGTGTCTGGAGCAGCAGTTCTCGTTCCCCCACCCCCAGCCCATCTCGCTGCCCCCGCAGCCCCGGGCAGCTGCCCTGCCCTCACCTTGCTCTTGGCCGTACAGATGAAGGTGACGTCAGCTCCAGGCTTCACACTCTGGACCCTCTTCTCCTCCACGGTGACCGTGATGGGTTTGCTGGGGGCCTCTGCACCGACAGGGAGACATAAGACTCCTGCCCGGCACACCCTGCAGGCCATGGACAGCAGGACGGCAGCTCCAGGGCCCAGCCACCAGGGGCTAATGGTGCCTTGGGGCCAGGGCCAGGCAAGGGAAGGAGGGCAATAGGGAGCAGAGCTTGGGGTGGGAGGGTTGAGTTCAGGTTTTCTTGTTGGCTCTTCCTCTCTGAGGCCTCCTCATCCCAACCTAGGCCCTGCCCTCCTCCTGGGCCCTGCTCGCCCCCTGGCCCCCATGCAGATCCTGCCCAGCCTCAGGAAGACCTGCCCATTCCCCTAAACCCAGGCAGACCCTGCCCATCCCCCGGACTCCAGGCCCTGGGCTCCGGGCCCTGCCCACCCCTGGGCCTTGCTCATAGGTGCCCATCTTGCTGCCCAGGCCTGAGGGGCTGGTGGTGGATGGGGTATGAGGCTCTGACCTCGACCCTGCCCTGGCTGCCTGGGCGGAGCAGTGCCACTCGCTCTGCCTCTGTCCCACCACCGCTGAGGGCATGGCCACCATGACAACGGCTCTGCCAGGGAAGGAGGGTGTCAGCTCCCAGCTGGGGCCCCGCAGAGTGCACAGGCCCACCTGGTCTCAGCAGTGTCCTCCCACCCCCCCACCCGGAGGCCGAGCCCGGAGCCTCTCACCCGTGACAACGACCTCCGCCCGGCTGGCATTGCTGTGCTGCAGGCTGCGGCAGGTACAGACGTACACACCAGCCTCGGAGGGCTGGATGCTGGGGAAGTGGAGCTCTTCACCTGAGGCCGGGACAAAGGAGGTGTGAGACCCACACATGGCCCACCACAGGCTGAGCGTGTGGACAGAGGGGCCCTCTGGCAGCCAGGGAGAACATCCCCGGCCTGAGGAGCTTGCAGGGAAACCCTATCTCTGCCACCCCACTGCTTATAGCCACTGGGCACAGCTCCCCAGCTGTGGCCCCAGCACCCCAGCTAGGCAGAGCTGGCCTGGGGCCGCGTCTGGCTGGAGAGCTCTGAAGAACAGCCGAGATGCTCAGGCTGGTGATTCGGGAGGTGGCACATGCGCCCGAGTCAGTGTAGACCCCCACATGGTGCTAGGTCATTCCATGGGGGGCGCTCTCCCCTGCGGCTGTGCAGCTGGAGGAGCATCGATCCGAGCTCCTGACCTGCTCAGGCCTCAAGGAGCTGCATTTGCACCAGATTGGGGTGTCCTGATCTAACCCCTCCTGGACTCCCTGTTGTCTCCTCGCCTTTGGGCAGGCTGAACGACAGAATGGCTGGCCCCAACTAAGTGTGTCCCTGAGTCTGTGGGACCTAGGGCTGGACCCCTGTCCTGCCCCCGTTTCCCTACTGATTCAAACCTTCCCCCATTGGTCTGGGCGTCTGCCAACACCAGTACTAATCATGGTAAACCCGCCGTCAAACCCGCTCCCCACAGTGAGCCTGCAGACTTGCATCTGAAGAAGTGAGGTTCTTACCCACGAAAGCTTATGCTCCCAATACTTCTGTTAGTCTTAAAGGTGCCACAGGACCCTCTGTTGCTTTTTACAGATTCAGACTAACACGGCTACCCCTCTGATACTTATAACTTAGGTCGACATAGCTACAGTGCTCGGGGGGGTGTGTGTGTGAAAATCCACACCTCTGAGCGTTGTACTATGCCAGCTCAACCCTGGTAGACACAGCTAGGTTGACAGACGAATGCCTCTGTCAGCCGTCGCTCAGGGAGTTCCCAAAGCGACGGACAAACCCTTCCAGCTATATGACGGAGCTACGCAGGCACAGCCAGTCACCACAGCTAGGCCGCCATAGCCTCCGCAGTGCAGACACGGCCTCAGTGGAGGGGAAGTGCCTGGTTCCTAACGTTCGTTGTTCTCTCCACACCAGGCCACACGGTTACCTTGCCGTCTGCTCTGGGCAGTGCTGGGCACGGGGCGCCCATCCTCCCGCGACCAGGAGTAGTAGTAGGGCGGGCTGCCGCTGGCCTGGCAGCGCAGCGTCACTTCACCACCCTGTGAGACCGTGGTCTTTGGCGGGTGGACTCGTACCACGAAAGGGGCTCGGTCTGTGGGGAGAGGAGAGAGGGAGCCAGTCATTCTGGGGAATTCTGGGGAGATGCATCAGACTCATAGGGATGGGATCAGCAATGGTGCTGCGGCCGCTGCCCCCCCACATGGGAACTCTCTTGGTGTGAGAGCAAAGGGACCCTCCGAGGCTGTGGAGCGAGGGGCCGTATCCACCCGCGCCCTGCTCTGCACCCACCAACGGGGCCCCCCAGGGCTGTGGGGTGAGGGGTCGTATCCACGCGCGCCCTGAGGGTCTCATCCCTCTCCCAGCTCCCGGCTGGATCCCATCTCTCTGCTGACCCCTTGTGATGAAGTGGGACTGTTCTTAATGTTTCCTCTGAATACTGTGTGGGTGCCTCAGTTTCCCCTATGCATTTCTTAAGTCTCTAGGTGGTGGGATAAAGGCCAGTGTGCATAAATCACTGACACTCTGTCTCCCTGGCAACAAATGGCCAGGGCCCTTCCCCCCTGCAAGGAAATAGCTAAAGGTGAACAAAGAGATCAGGTGACCTCCTGGCCCAGGGAAAGAGACAAAAAGTCCAGAGAAGGAGGGGCTGGAGGGGGTTTTGAGTTTGGAGCTAGCTGGGGACTGGAAGAGAGGGCAGGTGGGGGTCTGCCTCGCTGGGCCCCAGAATGGACCCGGCGGAGGGGTCCCGTTCGCTGGACCTAAAAGCTCTGTTTTAGACCGTGTTTCTGTCGTCTAATAAACCTCTGTTTTACTGACTGGCTGAGAGTCACGTCTGACTGCGAAGTGAGGGTGCGTGCAGGACCCTCTGGCTTCCCCAGGACCCCGCCTGGGCGGACTCGCTGTGGGAAGCGCACGGAGAGGCATATGCTGAATGCTCCCAGAAGAGACCCAGGAGGTGAAGCCGTGTGAGCTTCTTGCCCTGAAGACGGTCTGCTCCGAGGGAGAGGAGGCTCCCCAAAGTCCTGACTGGCTTTGCGGGGAGCAGTTCCCGAGCATCGCCCGGGGACTCCGTGACACCCCTGCTGGCGGGGCAGAGGCAGGGATGAGGGGCTGGATGCTAGGGATTCTGGCCCGTGGTCTGGGAGCTGTATCAGCATCAAGCAGTTGCCTGCTCCCCTTGCAGCCACCTGAGCCCAGAGTCACAGCCCTCCGGTGCTCCAAGTGCCCTGTATTCACACTCCCCACATCACCGCAATGTGCCTTGGGAGGAATCATTAAAGTTCCCCCCCCCAGGTTAATGTCCTTGGGGAGTGTATGCAGGAAGCACTAGGAAGAGTTCACCCAACAACCCGGCGGGGTAACCCTGCTTCTCAGACACAGGACAGGTGCCTCTGGCCTGTCCTGGGGCCGCGCCTTGGCAGCGATGGGGGTAGGAACAAAACAATCTGCAAACAGCAGCATGGAGCCTCTTTCCCCATGGGACTCTCCATCCCGGCCTCACCGCTGGGGGGAACTTTCTCCAGGGTGACCCTCAGCAGAGAGCATTTCAAAATGGGTCTGGACTGTGACAGTGAGCGGCAAAACCACCCCAAGCCACCTCTCTCTCACCTGCAGGGCACAGGAACCAGCCCTCTGCCTGCAGGGGAGAGCCGGACCTGAGAACTGCGCCAGCCATACTGCTGGGAGCCTGGCGCAGGTTTGACCTCCAGCCAAGCCTCGCTCGCTCAGTTGTAGCTGATAGAAAGGGGTTTATATTTATGTTTCTTGGACCCATTTCTGACTGATGCCTTACACTAGTACTCACTTCAAATCCACCAGGCTGTAGTTAAATAAACTGGTTTGATTTTTAATCTAACCCAATGCAGCATTGTGTTTAAACTGAGCTGCTGGTAACTCCAGTGAACATAGCAAATTGCTGGCTACTGAGCCTGGACAGGGGCAAGGGACCTTCACCATCTCAGGCTACTAGCCCTTGTCCTTCTGCTGGCCCAAAGACCAGGGCAGTGGGGACCCTGCCGCCAATGCCTGGCCCTGCACTTACCCACAGGTACACACTTCTGCCCCCGCACGCTGGGGTTCCCCACATAGCCTGGCGCACATCTGTGGGGAGCAGGAGAGACAGGTGAAGGGGGCACTGGTCTCCCCGGGGGGGTATGTTTGTGGGGGGGGGGGGGGGGGGGTTGCACACAAAGCCTAGGGTTGCCAACTTTCTATTGGCACAAAACCAAATACCCTAGCCCCTCCCTTCCCTGAGGTCCCGCCCCATCCCACCCCTTCCCCGAGGCCCCACCCTCTGCTCATTACATTCCCCCTCCCTCAGTGGCTCGCTCTCCCCCACCCTCACTCACTTTCACTGGGCTGGGGGTTGGGGTGCGGGTGGGGGTGAGGGCTCTGGCTGGGGTTGCAGTCTTTGGGGTGGGGCTGGGGATAAGGGGTTTGGGGTGCAAAAGGGAGCTCCAGGCTGGGGCTGAGGGATTCAGAATGTGGGAGGGAGCTGTGGGTTGAGGCAGGAGGTTGGGGTGTGGGGGGGTCTGGGTTCTGGGCTGGGGGTGTGGGTTCTGGGGTGGGGCCGGGGATGAGGGTTTTGGGGTGCAGGAAGGGGCTCCGGGTTTGGGGGGCTCAGGGCTGGGGTGCAGGAAGGGGCACGGGCTCTGGACTGGGGGTGCAGGCTCTGGAGTGGGGCTGTGGATGAGGGGTTAGGGGTGCAGGAGGGGGCTCTGGGTTTGAGGAGGGGCTCAGGGCTGGGGGTTGGGGCTCGGGGTTGGGGCTTACCTCGGGCAGTTCCCAGTCAGCGGTGCAGTGAGGCTAAGGCAGGCTGCCTGCCGCTCCTGGCTCCATGCTACGCCCTGGAAGTGGCCAGCGGGTCTGGCTCCTCAGTGGGGGTGCTCGGGGCGGGGGCAGCGCACGGAGCCCCGTGCTGCCCCTCCCCCCGGAGCCGTACCTGCTGGCCACTTCTGGAAGCAGCGCAGTGCCCCAGGACAGGTAGGGACTAGCCTGCCTTAGGCTGCAGCACCGCCGACCAGACTTTTAACAGTGTCGAAAACCGGACGCCAGGTCACCCTAACAAAGCCTTGTGTCTGCTGTGCCTCGGAGCTGCAGGTTGGGACTGAGGAGTGCGGGGAAGCAGTTATTGCCCCAGTGTGCACAGCCCGCCCCCAGGGTCCAGGCGCAATGCGGCCAGGCTCCATGGGCTGAGCCCCGACCCAGGGCAGCTGGGAGCTCAGGGGACAACAGAGTTGCCACCTTTCTAATGGCTGGAAACCAAATCCCAGAAGCCCTGCCCCACCTCTTCCTTTGAGGTCCTGCCCCCTACTCTGCCTCTTCCCCCAATGCCCCGCCCCTCCTCCACCTCCTCCTCC